ACGCTCCCATTTCTTTGTTCTCCGGCGTCAGCCTCAGGCACCCGCTCACCAGTCCTGCTGCCCTGTTTCCCTAGTATCCAGGACCACATGCATGCACTGTGTCTGCGCTCTGGTCCGGAATCCTGGGGCTGGGTGTTCAGCAGTCCTGGGCTCTCTTTCCCTCCCTGCTGACTCCTCTCCACCTGCCAGGGGCCAGGGGGAGGGGTGCTTGGGTCCTGCAGGGCTGGGGCTTGTATCTTATCCCCTTTGTGAGGCGCTGGGTTCTCGCAGGTGTGGATGTGGTCTGGATGTTGTCCTGTGTCCTCTGGTCTCTATTTTAGGAAGAGTTGTCTTTGTTATATTTTCATAGATATATGTGGTTTTGGGTGGAGATTTCGCTGCTCTACTCATGCCACCATCCTGGCTCCACCCCCAATTTTCCTTTTTTAATAGATGCTTTCTCTGTGTCTTTTCTTCAGTTTACTTCCTCCACCTCCCACTTTCCTCTCAAGGTCTAGATCTCCCTGTTGGTAACAGTGTTTGTGGCAGACTCTTTTTAAAGCAGATCCAGTATTTGGAGAACTTCGTTTGTCTTAACTATCAGTGGAGTTTGGCTGTCTCAATTCTTGTTGCCATACCTACTCTGTTAGAACTTGACATAAAATCAGTAAAAGTAGTACTTAAGGCAGGCCTGAAATAAAAGAAAGAACAGACCCTGAAGACTGCATCTTCTCACTATAAGGGTGAGGGGTAACTAGGTAGAGGTTCAGTCCTGGCTGTGCTATTTATTGAAGGCATGATTTGGACACAGTAGGTTAGCAGCTTTGTTTCCAACATCCAATGGCAATAAAACCTTCCACGTGTGTTTTGAAAGTGACAAAATGAAATGATGTGAGAAAGGGCTTATAAATTTTAGTGAGCTAAAATGAATGCTAATGTAATTAGGAACATTGTATTTTTTTCCTAACCAATATTGGTCCTGATTTTTAATTACAAAGAAAAAGACAACAGCACCTCAGGATCATCTTTCCCCTGGCATTCTTGTGCATTAAGTTAAGAGGAGAATGAAAGAAAGCAGGAAAGAGGGCCTCTCTCATTTGTTTTTATCAAATGCTTGCATATTTTCCCCAAAGGCATGTGTTTCTATGCTTACACTATGCTTCTTTCTTCATTATAACTCTTGTTACAGTGTAAGTTATCATTATTTAGGTGACTGTCTCCCTCTACTAAATAAGGGGTCCCTGAGGTTAGAGTACCTTGCCTAATAAGAGAACAGCAAATGAACAAATGGATGGAAAGGTGGCAGATGAATAGTACCACAGATTTTTCAGAATGCATGTGTGAGCGCTTAGTTACATCCACAAAGTCTTAAACACTATTAGGTGAAGCCCACTTACCAGAATTTTTTAAACTATTTACACAGAGAATCCAGATACTAGTTCAGGCACTTCTGTACTTCCTCCACCAGTTCCTTCCAGTCCATACTGAGTCCACCTAGAATACGCTTTTCTTCTCCTCCCACCATGATAACCTTCCTTTTTTCCTCCCTCATCCCCGATCCCTCTCTGGGTCCTAAAAAAGTAGCACAAAGTCCTTATTGTCATTCCTGAAGAAGGTTTTATTTAGGTCTCCAGGTAATTTTGAGTAAGGATGTACAAGTCAAAAGGGACAATAAATATTTAGCTCACTATATTGACCTCCTCTCATAGCATAACTTTGATGAATCATTCTAACAAAAATCTCTGCTTCTTTAACCCAGTGACAAATTTACTTCTTTATAAGAGTGCATGCTTATAACAATGTACAGAGACAAAGGAAAAACCAAAACTTAAATTATGTGAACTTAATTAATTTTAATAATTTAATTCTATGCACTTGCATCCATCCGAAGGAGAAAAGCAGTAATGGACGAGTATATCATGTTTCCATAAAGAATTATAATAATATTAGTAGTATTGTTTACAGCCACAGTCTTCCTGGAGTTTTGGAAAAGGAGAAGAAGTACACTGACCTATACTTGGGACCTTATTGAATGGGAAGAGGAGGAGGTAAGATGTTAGGAAACTAGGAGAGAAGGAAACTGGGGTAATACATGATGCAAAAATTATTCACTGCCTTTAATGTCCAAGTTGGAAGCAGCTAAACACCATTAGATATTCTCTTGTTTTTTGCTGATAAGATTTCTTATCACATGAAGGTAAGAGAGATCAATGATGAAGTAATGTAATTTTTTCAAAGTATTTCTACAATAATTCTATGAATCACACTAAAAAATTGTGCTAATTTAAGTATAATTTAATATGAGTATTTATACATGTCAATATTCATCAATCTGTGCACTAAGATTTCTGTATTTTATTGTATTTACCTCAATAAAAAATTAAAATTAAAAAATACACAGTTTAGGGTTTATTTGGAAAATAATTTTCATCTTATTTTTAAAAAGTTGCATCTTTGTCAAGACTTGATATAAAAATAGGCCAACTTCTGGGAATTTTGCATCAATTATTGAATGATTTTTATTTTTAATTTATGACTTTGCTATTTAGGTAACTTTAGTTTCTCTCATAGGAAACACTTCGTCCCCAGTTTGAAGCAAAGTATTACAAGATGGAGAGAGTGAATCCCATCAGTGGTAAACCTGAACCTCATCAGCCTTCCTCAGACAAAGTCACCCGTCTTCTTGTTTCTATCTCAGGAATATTCTTCATGGTAAAGTATAAGTATCAATATCAAAACATCGTGGTATTCCAGGTTTAGAAGCAAGTCCTAGGATAACAACTCATTTTGTGACCCAGAGGATTCAAGAAGCCAGATCCAGTTTAATACCTTGATAATACATACTATTAAACAAAATAAAAATCACAGCAGCTCCTGGAGTAAAGGGAGAGTTTGTGCATATCCTTAAATAAAACTCTCTGGGAGAAACAAAGATTATCTAATGTAAAGTGGAAATTATATGAGATGCTGTCATGAATTCCAAACATTCCATTTGAAAGTAGAAATTTGAATAGAATTACTGCTAATTTTGACTCTAATGTAATTTAGTTCCTCAAAGGAAAAAAAATTAATTCATGCATCTTTCCTTGGAAAAGTAAATTCCTTTGGCTCTTGGGGGGCAGTGTATTGGATCTATGGTTTTTCTTTAATTTTGTTGATGATGCAGAAGAGAGCTGTTATCTCTGGTCTCCCTTACTGTAGATCTCCTTGGTGATCACCGCGGTATTTGCGGTCGTGGTGTACCGCCTCGTTGTCATGGAACAGTTTGCATCATTCAAGTGGAATTTCATCAAACAACACTGGCAGTTTGCAACGTCTGCTGCTGCTGTCTGTATCAATTTCGTAATTATTATGGCACTGAATCTTGTAAGTGTTCATAATTTTTCAATAGGTGTGAAAAGGATGGAGAAGAGAGAAGTCTGTGTTTCCTTTATACTTGAATTGTATTATAGGAAGCCAAAAATAAGAACAAGCACATGTCTGTCTATGGTAACTGAACTCAGTTAAGAAAAAATATTTTTTGCCTATGGTTTAGAAGATACATTTGAAAAAATTAATATCAATATAGTTGTATTTTCTTCCTTGCCCTTTGAGTTTATAGTCTTGACTGGGGATAACTTAATGGTCTAATGTGTGCTAGAAATGGTGCTATGCTCTTTTCATTCAAATAAGAGTTTGTTGGATTAATCATTGAAACAAACTCAACCTCAGAGGAAAATTTGTTGATAAGATAAAGGGAAATCTGAAAGTGAAGGCTTGTTATTTCTAAGGCTTCATATGAAACAGAAATCAGTCAGGCAGCTACTCTTTCTTTCTCTGGGACTATGCATTTTCTTTTTTACTTTTTTCCTCACTTTCTCTCTCTCTCTCTCTCTCTCTCTCTCTCTCTCTCTCTCTCTCTCTCTCTCTCTCTCTCTCCCTCCCTCTTCCTTCCTTCCTCCTTTTTCAGTGCTTCTGTTTGCATGTCCATTGTGTTCCATCAAGAAGATAATTGTTTTTGCCTAATCACAGCTTGTCTTTCTCCCACAGTCCAGTGTGCTGTGGCATTGCTATGCTTTTGTTACCTTCTTTGGCTTTAACTACAAGACCATGTTGGACAGGTTTCTGTAGCTTATTTAGCTTAGATCATCCAGTATTTCAATGCACTGATTTCTTAGAGACAGCAGGTAATTGGTTCAACATCACATACACTGGTTGCCTTGTGAACCAAATGTCTGAGAGGGCAGCATTATGCTTAGGCCCACCTCTTTAGCAAGGTGATTGGATGGAATCCTGGTTTCTCCAAGAAAGGCATCTTTAGGATAATGTCTTTCCTTTAATTCTTCCAACAATGCCACAAGTGATATTCTCTCCATTATGTAAATGAGGAAACTGAGATTCGTAGAGTTTAAATAACTTGCCCCAAATCACATATATACTGTTAGTATATTTACTTCATGAGATAATGTGTAGGTAGATGAGCAATAAACAAATAATGATGTATTATGTGTTTGGTTCCAAATGTAGATTAACACTGATGTTACATGTTTACCCTGGAAAGGGATGGAACCACTTGCTTTTTAACTTTAAAATAATCAGGGAATGTCTTAAGAGAAAAATGAATAGCATTTTGGTAAGTTTTCATGAAATGATAATAATATCTTCTACGGGGGTCTGCTTTCTTCAGGTTCATTTTAATTTGTGGAAAGGACATTGTTTGCAGTATCTCCAAAAAAGCCATACAATATTTTAATTTGTGCTCTTGGCTCATAGATTAAAATGAACAAGAAACAATGAAAAAATGTAGCATTAGCACTGGAAGTCATGTATGGTAGTATATGAAGGTAGTATAGATTATGCATTACACAAAGTCACCACATTGAAGGAGGAGCCATTTACAGCATAGATATTGCAGATTTCATATTTATGATGCTATTCTTGTGGGAGATGGTGAAAAATCTTATTTCTAACAAAATCAGTATATTATGACAGTTTTCCAGTAGACAGAAGTTATTTGGGATTGGCCTCATTATAATGCTAAGGAAAAGGAAGCAAAGTAGTTGATATGGTATTTTCTAGGTAACACTAGCAGTCAGCCAGTCTGATCTTAAATTGACTCCATTTCTTATCCTTAGTAGGTTAATCCAAAAATGACTGGTTACAGTCCTTCTATCTAGAAGCTTACTGTCTAGTGGAGAAGTAGGACAAAAAGCCCTAAGAGGAGAAAGAAGCCATCAATTGTACCTGCAGTGGGGTAGGGTCATGACAGTGGATCAGAAGGGAAGAAGGGAGGATAATTAATCTGATAAACCAAGAAAGAACAGAGAGTAGACTCTCATTTGAAGAAATTCAACCCACAAATGTAGAGGCATGGAAGTGTGTGTTTTTTTGTCCTAAGGAAATGGTAAAAAGTGTCCATGAAACATATTTATGGAAGAATGAAGGAAATGATATTAGGATAGTATATCAGTGCCTAACAGTGGAGATATGGAATAGCATGTAATGAATTTGGACATCACTTTCCATCCCACCTGTGGGCTGTGCAGGGAGCTGTCAATGGGAAAACTTCATAGGTGAATAGCCACTAATCACCATATCAGATACATTTATAGATGTAAAAAGATGTTAAACTATTAGCATAATTTACTATAATTACTATACTGATAATTTTTAAAGTTCTCAAGAAAAATGTCAGGCTTTCTTGGGAAAAAATTGGTCAAAACTGCTAAATGTAGAAGAGGTATCCTGAGTAGATTTTCATCAAACCATGGAAGAAATTGAAGAAAAAAATCACTACAAACTGGTAATGCTACTCATCTAAGGCATTGTATCAAAAAGATACTTTTAAAAAAATTTAAATAAAAAGGTCATTTCTTGTTTTGTAAATTAATCCAGAATTTAGACAAAGATGTGATGCTTCACAAACAAAAGTCTGTTTTTAAAAATATATCTGGCAAAGATACCATCAAAAATCAAACTAAAGAGCAATTAAAGCTACGTAGATAAAAGTTGAAATATAGATCAAAATGTTATCAAGAATTACCATTGAAAAGTATAGGTGATTTTTTTCTTTATAAATTGTCAAACATTTTTCATTTTCTAGATTTTCTACAATAAACTTATATTCCTTTTAAACTAGTAAAAGACACACTTGATATTAATTTCTGGTATTCTCTTTTAAAGAAATCATCAGTAATGGTAATCCAAGATTTATTTAGAAGGATTTTTGTTGTATTATTATTTAGAATAGTAAAAAGTGGGAAAAGACACCCTTAAATAACTAAAAATAAAAGAACACTAATTCAGTTTCTATACAATGGAGTATCATATAAAAGCAATTAAAATACTATTGTAACATTATTTAAGGAAATGGAATGTAGACATATGAAAAGATGAAAAAGCTATGCAGTTCCGCTTGATTTCCATTGGGACACACCTACATTTTGAAAGTGTAAAGAATGATAATAAAATGTTAATAGTGGTTATCTAGGTAGTGGGATTGTATCTGATTTAGCAAAAAAAATTTATATTGATTTATTTTTATTATGGTATCATTAATATTCAGTCACATGAGCAACATTGTGGTTACCAGATTCCCCACCTTATCAAGTCCCCACCACATACCCCCATTACAGTCATTGACCATCAGCGTAGTAAGATGTTATAGAGTCACTACTTGTCTTCTCTGCGTGATTTAGCAAAATTTTTTATGGTCACTCAATATTTATCTCCATATGTAGGTATTGGTTTATAATCAGAAAAAAAAACTACTTTTAAGACATTCTACCATAATATAAAATTTGGAACAATTTATTTTATTTTTACTTTATATATGAGTTACCCATACCACAACAGCCTACTAGATAACAACTTTGGTTCACTTTTTAAACTTTATTTATTTTTATTTTTATTTGTTGAGAGGGCATCTCTCATATTTATTGATCAAATGGTTGTTAACAACAATAAAATTCTGTATAGGGGACTCAATGCTCAATGCACAATCACTAATCCACGTCAAGCCTAATTCTCGTCAGTCTCCAATCTTCTGAAGCATAACGAACAAGTTCTTACATGGTGAACGAATTCTTACATAGTGAATAAGTTCTTACATGGTGAACAGTACAAGGGCATTCATCACAGAAACTTTCGGTTTTGATCACGCATTATCAACTATAAACAATCAGTCCAAATATGAATATTCGTTTGATTTTTATACTTGATTTATATGTGGATACCACATTTCTCTCTTTATTATTATTATTATTTTTAATAAAATGCTGAAGTGGTAGGTAGATGAAAATAAAGGTAGAAAGCATAGTTTAGTGCTGTAAGAGAGCAAATGTAGATGATCAGGTGTGTGCCTGTAGACTAAGTGTTAATCCAAGCTAGACAAGGGCAATAAAGACATCCACGGATGCAGAAGATTTCTCTCAAAACAGGGCGGGTGAGGTTCTAAGCCTCACCTCTGTTGATCCCCAATTTCTCACCTGATGGTCTCCCTGCGACTGTGCCTGTCTTAGGTTGTTCCTCCCTTGAGGAATCTTACCCGGCTCTGGCTAACCAGTCATCTTCCAGGGCCATACAGGGAAATGTAAAGTTGGTAAGTGAGAGAGAGGCAATATTGTTTGAAAAGGTTAGCTTTTTACTTCTTTGAAGATTTATGCCCTGTGGCTTTTATGCCCAGTATTTGTCTTGGGGTATAAACTTTATTTTTCACCAAGTAAAGAAAAGATTTGTCAGTGGCTGAGCAGCATCGCAGGATCCACACACCCGGTTCTATCTGTTCCCATTTGTGCTCTGCCCCCTCTCTGGCCCTTCTGAATCTCACCCAGTCTTGCATCAGTTTACACTGTAGTCCTTGGCTTGGTATCCTGATAAAAAGCAGCGGACACTGGACAATTTCTTGATCTTTCAAATGAGGATGATAAAATCAATATATAGGGGTACTGAAAGATTAAATGAGATCTGCTTCTAGTGCATACAAGGTGCTCAGTGAATCTTAACTTTCTTCCTGTTTGCTTCTCTTCAATAAAACTATTTCTCCTTCTAAGTTTATCTATACTCCTATCCCCTTTCTTGCAAAATAGCAACATTTTCCTTATTTTTCTCCATTTTTCTCATCTTTAAATAATAGAATTTATTCATTTCCCTTCAGTCCAAGATATAGAAATGCGGATGAACTTTACTTTGGTCTTTCTAAATTCTTCAGACCACATCTGCATTTATTTAAAATTTTTTCAGTCTTTTACCTTTAAACATTATCTATTACCCATTCATAAATTTTTAAATACATAGAGACTTCTATGGAGAGGAGAATTGTAAGTTCTTGTGGAATGTCTTATCAAATATATGCTTAAAATAAAGGAAAATTTGAAATGTTTAATTAG